CTGGCACGGTGAATGTTCATCAACATGAGGAAGGGGTTCGCAATCAAGGCCCTAAAAAATGAGACTTCAACCCAAGAAGTGTAAAGCAGAGTAAGAAAACTGCCTTTCATGGCTATTTTCATGGCTAATGTGCCTCTCCATCAGGCATGCCATTTTTCTTAGATGCTGTATGTATTTTGCTAAGATGCAATTTTTTCTGGGCTGTTCTTTTTAAAACAAATGCTCCACTGGCTTCCTTTCGCAAATAAAAAGGATACCATTAGCTCAGTGCTATTGAACAGCTCTTGAATAACAAGCCAGCATTCAAGTACAACAAGGGGAAGAAAAAAACCAACAACAAATATTGTTACAAACAATCATGATAAAAATTTTAAAAATGAAAAAAATACCTTGGAAGCATACTTTACATTTCCATCAGTAATCCTTTATGCTATAGACTTATCTATATCTCTCTATATCTATATAGTGCAAAGAATATATATAAAATGTTCTTTTTAACGTAGGCTCTTTTGTTATCTATAACACAAAAAAATGAACATTATTTAGGCTACAAAGTCAAAGCACTCAAAAGTTAGGAAAATGGTAGTATAAAGGCTGCCTGTGTAACCTTAATTCAGACCCCTTGTGCATATGCATTATGACACAGTCTGTAATTACATGATTGCATACTATTTCTTCCACAGGACCCGTCTTATTCAGTGCACAAGATGGACGCTTAAAAAGCAGCTATTTAATATTATGTTTTCTCCTCGTTGCTCTATATGTGGCCCCAGGCCTTGTTTACTACTTACAGTTTAAGCCCTACTCTGAAGACAGAATTATGAATTTCCTCATAAGCTCTTCTATGACATTCATCACTAGAGAATCTGAGTGCTTCACAGACATTAATGAATTTATTTTCACAAACACCTCTGTGAGGGAAGGGGTGCTATTATCCTTATTTTACAGATGAGGAACTGAGGCTCAAAGAGATTAAGGTCCAACGTATTCACTAATTTTGGGTGCCCAATTTCAGATGCCGATGATTTGATTTTTCAGAGTACTTAGCACTGAATCTCACTTTATATGTTCAAAGTACAGTTCCCATTGACTTCAATTGAAGCTACGAGTGCATAGCACTTCTGCAAATCAGACTCCCAGAAAATGAGGAACACAGTGTTCGTGACCACCTGTGAAATGTTAGTTTAAGTGACTTGTCGAGCACCACTTAGGAATTCTGCGGCAGAGGCAGGGACAGAATCCAATTCTCCAGGACGGCATTCAAGTGCCTTAACCGTGAGATCGTCCATTATCTTCCAGTAATCCTCTACCACATTCACTACTCACCTGCCAGCTTCTGCAAGACATGATGCAGGGGTCTTAAAGACGACAGCCTCCTTCACTGCACAACCCTGATTCATCCCCAGAGCAAGTCCATCCACATACTGAATGAGACAGAATTCCTAACAGTATACGATCATGTAATTAAAAGACAGTATTATAATGTGTATGTCCAAGGAGGCCACATTAAGGTTGCTCTGGCAACCTTAATTCTGGTATTTCCTAATTTTTGAGTGCTTGACTTCACAAACTTAATGCTCTTTTAACATATGATTTTTTTTTGGGGGGGAGGGGTAAAAATGCATAACACAAAGCTGAGGATCTCAGTGCACTAGGTAAACACTACTTTGGCCTAACAGCACCTTTGAGAGGTAGGAAAATATTATGCCACTTTGTACAAATGTAAACTAAGCCATAAGGAAGTTAATTATGGCCTGATTTTCAGAGGTACTGAGTATCCAGCCTAGCAAGTGAGTTTAATAGAAGTTCTAGGTTTTCAGAATCTCAAAAATCAGGCTATAAACTATGTGCCCAAAGTTCTAGGAGAAGTGTGAGGAAAAGCCTGGAACAGAACCCAAGGCTCCTGACTAGCACTGCCATGGCATCACCTTTGTTTCCTGTGAAGTCTTCCCTGGGTACATAAACTGTACAGAAAAGTACGTGTTTAGACTGTGCCCAGAGTCAGAATTCTTGGGCTTTATACCCAATTCTGCTGGACATCTTGGAACAACAAACCTCTCTGTGCCCCAATTTACTTAGCTTCAAAATGAGCATAGAACAGCATATACCTGTGTCACAGCGGTGTGGTGGGACTGTGGGTCCAATACTCCAAATAGTTACTATCCTATTGAATTCCCATGAGTCTCTCTAGTCCCAGTGAAATCCAGTGCATGAGTCTACTCCCATGCATAAGATTATGGATATCCTGTATGGACATCATAACCTTCCTGAAATCAAAGGGGCTACAGATGGGAGAAAATATATACACATAGTTTAGAAGAACTGTAAATGTCAGTAAAAGATAAATAATCACAATAGTATATAATTGTAGGCTCAAACCCCTAATTATTTAAGGCTAAATTATGCCAGTACTACACATGTTCAGTGGTACCTATGTGTTGAGTAATACTTTCATTTTGGGGATACTTGCATTGTAAAGTACTAGTGAATAAGGGTGGGACAGTATAGTTTTTAATGTTTTTAAGTACTCTGAAATCCATGGATGAAGATATTATGCAAGTACAAAGAAAACAGAAATGCCAAAAAAAAAAAAAGGGGGGGAATAAAAGGGGAAAACTTTCAACTCAAAATCTATGTGCAGTGCAGTTGTAGCTGTGTCAGGCCCAGGATATTAGAAAGACAAGGTGGGTGAGGTAATATCTTTTATTGGACCGACTTCTGTTGGTGAGAAAGACAAGCATCACAGCTAAATGCACTTAGGTGTGATGCTCTAAGTACCTTGCCCAGACCTGAAGAAGGGCTGTGTGTGGCTTGAAAGCTTCTCTCTCACCAACAGAAGCTGGTTCAATAAAAGATATGAACTCAAAATCTATTCAGTTTAAAAAAAGTTAAAAGAAGTTCCAGGTACTTTAGCTGCTGCTGAGATGCTAATTTGTATGGGTTTACAATCACATTTTCCTATTTTTAAAATGTCTTCCTTTCCTCCTTTGTTGTGTGAAAGACCCACACACAGAAGAGGGGAAAACTGACTAACAGACTACACAGGGGAAATAGTGAAACTGTCTAAGTGGTGTCATAAACACAAAGTGCTGCCAAAATTGCAGACTAAACAAGCTGAAAAACTAGGTGTTTAAAAAAATTCACCAGTCTCTTTCTCCTATAGTACTCCTGGGTATTTCCTGTTATGAATAGTATGTAAACAATATTTCAGAGAAAAATGTGATTTTAATTTGATGGTGTCCTTTTAATTATTAAAAATCATTTTAAGGGTTAAGAGTTTCACACACATTGAAATAATGGGCCAGATCCTCAGCAGTGCAAATAAATCAAGAGAGCTGTGCTTAAGTGGAGCAGTGCTGATTTAAACCAGCCCAACTTGGATCTGTAGTGCTTTCACTTAAGACCAGACTGAGGTCTCATATTTCATCATGATCTTCATTCCCAGGTTTCACTTCTGATGTATCTAGTTTTATGACTAGAGAAGGGAAAAGAGGCAAAGACGCTATGAAGTCTACTAGGCTTCTGTTAGACCTTCTAGATCAGCTTCTTTTTCTAGACTATCAGGACAGTCTATTAACATATAGTTAATATGTTGGTGCTCATATAGTGCAGTGAGGGGAGCTAGTAAAAAACAAAATAAAAATACCCACCTCTTAGATAGAAGACACTCCCTCAAATGAAGCTGGAGTTCAAAACTAAAAAGGCAGAACTTGCAAGTGCAAGTGAATCATTGAGGAGCACAAGACTTAGGCAATTTTTAAAAATCTCACCACTGAACAGCAACATTTCATTCTCATGCAAAAAGTACAAGATCCGCCCTATATTTTCACACAGGAAATGTGAAGAACCTATATCTAGGTAACAATATCTATAGTCATCTTATGAAAATGATCTTAAACCATAATGAGTGTGTTTTTGTAATATGGGTTATTTTTTGCCATGATTCATTTTTGAAAATAAAAATATTTGTTCTTTCTACTATATTTCAAGCGGTTACGGTCAGAACAATGTGTGAAATTCATCGCATGATACTCCGTATGTATGTTTTGCTGGGTACTTCTGTGTACCAAGAATCACATATTACAATTCATTAAACAAGTTCATCAGTAAAAAGGTAAGTAGAACAGTTTCCAGACAGTCTAATTATCTCTGGTCATTCAGCAATTAAAACACAGTCTCCTGTAAATGATATCCCCCCAAAAGATGAACATTTTAGGGGGACAGATAATGGTGGGGGATTTTCACTTTTTCAAGGGTGAAGGGGTGGATTGTGTCTGGCTACCCCATAAGTGAGGAAGTTGGGCAAAGAGTGTACAAGTAGTCTGGCCCCTTGAGATGCCCATGTGCAGGGGCCAGACACAACATGCATGACCCTCAACACAGGGACTGCTACAGTCAAGTGCCACTGACAGCACTGGACTCCTTAGCGGGAGCCAATGGGGGTTTGAAAGGATGTGACCATAGCTCCAGTGGAGGTGGTTTGAACGGGGGGAGCATTCTCTACAATGGGGGTGCAATTGCTGCATCCTCCTTATGCTTTAGGAGGCATTGTGGCTTAATGGCATGCCTGAGGCCTACAAGTAATTAGTATTATAAATCTTACCAACGTATGGAAGTTACTAGATGTCAAGAGGGAATGTGACATGAATAGTAAAATACATTATAAAAATGAACTAATTTGTTCTGATCCGTCTTTGAGATTTTACAGATGCTTAGGGTTTAAGATGTCGACGCAATCTAACGCTGAAGTCAAGATGCATCTAACGAGATGTGCAAAGGGAAATGTGTCAGCATCCATGCAGGAGCTCATTTGTACAAGAGGTAGGTCTGAACCACAAAGTTCTGATTTGGATTTTGGGTTTCCCCAGAGTTCAGGACTCGGTGTGTTGGGGAGCCCAGAACTAATTCACCAGGAAACGTGGTTGCAATTTCATAACCTACTTTGATTTAACAGTTACAAGGAAGAAAACAAGAAGGAAGAGGAGACATTCAAGGCTCACCAGAGTGCGTCCTGAGGTGTCCTGTGAGGGCGTCCCTTCTCCGGCAGGCATAGCTGCAGAAGGGACATTTGAACGGTTTTTCCCCAGAGTGCAACTTGATGTGCCTCAGCAGGTTCCCCTTCTGCGTAAAAGAAGCTCCACACTGGTTACAATGGAAGGGGCGCTCACCTACAGTGGAGAGAATCATCAAGAAACCATCGAACACAGAACACACAGACCCAATATCCTATTGCTTGTAACGGAATATAGTGTAGCCATGTCAAAGTCCACTCTATCACCCAATTTTAACCCACAAATCCTTTGTCTAATATCTTTGTAACATGGGACTTGCTGATGCTAGGGGCTCGCACTTCATGATGATTGTTGGCAATGTTTTCAAGAGTGGTTTTGGGCACTCAACCTGAGATGCTTTAAGAGGCCTGAACATCCACCCTCTAAAAAAGGTGTCTCAAGCTGGGCGACCAAAACCACTAATCACCATGGAAAATTTAAGCCCACTGCTATGCTGCTATCTCTCTGGCTTGTAAATATTTTTATTATAGGCCCCATCCTCGGAGGGGTTTAGAACAGTCACAAAAATTTACTTTGGATAGATATCACGGTCTCAATGTAAAACAAATTACATTCTTTCTTATTTTTTAAAATAATTAAAACCCCCTTTTAAGGCTCCTCTGCACTGCTAGAGTCTTTGGTGTAAATGAGAATCCGGCCCAAATAGCTTTGGTAAGTAGCAAACACGGGGAGAAAAGCTGCACCCTAGAGAAATGAGAAGTAAACAGAGTTGGTTTTTAAATAACATTTATTTAAAAGTTATCTCTATTATGAGAGTTTTGTCTTAAAGTAGAAATTAATAAGCCTTTAATAAATGTATTTGTGTTGCCATTAAAGGTTTGATTTAACCTGGGATGGTTGTGCTTTTGTTCCCAATCTAAAAGACACAGTTTTTGATTAGATAAATAAATAAATAAATAAATAAATAATAATAAAGTAAGAAACCTGAAAAAACCCACAAAGGTTTTGTGAAATGAAACACAAAACATACACTATGTGATCCACTTTGTAACATACTTAGTCTATCTCAATTCAACACGGCATTTAAGCATGTGCTTAACTTTAATCATATGCTTAAGCCCTATTGGTTATAAAGGAAGTCAATGGGATCGAAGCATGTACTTAATGTCAACCCTATGCTTAAGTGCTGTAGTGAATTGGGGTCTTAGACACTGGTCTTAGGCTTTTATTAAGGCCTTGATTCAACAAGATACTTAAGGATATACCTAACTTTCAGCATGCCAGGAGTATTGTTTATTTTTTAAACTCATCTCCTATTACAAAGCTTTGGCCAAATTAGTCCCAATGTGGTAAAGGCATGTTTGGTTCGATAATGAGCTAGCTAGAGAGGAGTATTAATCTTTTTAAAAAAAATTGACAGCATTCTGTAATCAATTGTCCAGTTTTCTAGTATTTTAGTTCCACAGTTTTGCCCCCTTTTGAGGCAATGATCTGTGACACAACCTCCTTCCCAGACATAGATTTAGGGCAGAATCTTGACTTTCATTTGTAAATGATAAAAGAGAGGGAAGGAACTCAACTATGCCATCAGCCACATTTCAGCTTCTTCTCCCCATTCTGGGCTCAACGTATGACCTTTGTATTTAGGATCAGTCACGTTGGCTAAGTAATGGAAATGTTCCATAGCTTCACTGAATCATTTTTCCAATTTTGCTGTGTGTGGTTCCATTTTGTTGTTGTTAATTACATTAAGACACATTTACATGGCACCTGCAACAGGACTGTCATCAACCTGTAATCTGTCACATCCCTTTAAAACCTTTGTCAATTGCTTTTGTAAGATTAATGGCCCCTCTTTGCATAAAATGCATGCTATGTTTTCATCAAACTACTTCTTATGTCTACTGCAAATTCCATCATGTGTGTTGGATACCAATTTAGAAATGTAATCTTCCCGAGAGCATGACTGAGTGTTATTAAGAAGCTGGGCCATAAATCCTCATTTTTTCAGTCAACCAACCGCTGATGGTAATTGGGGACTCTTTTTTTTGAACTTTCACAATGTGCTTTAGGGACTGGGTTGGGTGTTACTTTTCTCTCAGCAAGGTTGAAATAGTGTGCTGAACACCCACAATTGAGAAGTGTAAGATTCTATTTATAAATGGCTTATGAAGGGTTAATAAATGAGTAATAGATGCAATAAACATGTTACAGACATGAGTTGTATATATTATTGATGGTTATAAACATGTCAGTAGAAGGCAATATCGATTGTTATAAGTAATCTCTTGACCTTTTGGACTCTATCATTATGTATAATAATTGACTAGCCACTTATTAAAACCTCTATTCATTATTTAGTAACCCTTTATAAACTATTTAGAAACGGAACATTAATGTCAAGTGTAACCAAAAAAAGATTTCTAGTACAAAAAAACTTAAATATACATTATATTTTTAAAAACATCTCCTCGCTCTCATCCCAAGCAAAAAATTAAAACTCCTCCAAACCACTGGATTATTTTTTCTGAAATATTTTTTCACATCTTGGACATAGCCCCCCTCCCAAAACACAAACTAACAATCCAAATTTCTGAAGTGTGTGGTTCCCTAGAAAAGTAAACTGAAGTGTCTATATGCTCTCGGATTAACTGTAGGTTCCGTACATTAATTTCAACCCCTTGGCACAAAGAAGAGATAGACTTGGTAATAGTTACAGATTATTCCTTTTTCTGAGGTCCTTCCGCTTGTGGACTAGTCTGATGATACCTCAAAAATTTCATAAATGATCTGGAGGATTTTGTGGATTGCACTCTCAGCAAATTTGCGGATAATACTAAACTAGGAGGAGTGCTAGATACGCTGGTGGGCAGGGATAGGATACAGAGGGACCTAGACAAATTGGAGGATTGGGCCAAAAGAAATCTGCTGAGGTTCAACAAGGACAAGTGCAGAGTCCTGCACTTAGGACAGAAGAACCCAATGCACCGCTACAGACTAGGGACCGAATGGCTACGCAGCAGTTCTGCGGAAAAGGACCTAGTGGTGACAGTGGATGAGAAGCTGGATATGAGTCAACAGTGTGCCCTTGTTGCCAAGAAGGCCAACGGCATTTTGGGATGTATAAGTAGGGGCACAGCCAGCAGATCGAGGGACGTGATTGTTCCCCTCTATTTGGCATTGGTGAGCCTCATCTGGAGTACTGTGTCCAGTTTTGGGCCCCGCACTACAAGAAGGATGTGGATAAATTGGAGAGAGTCCAGCGAAGGGCAACAAAAATGATTAGGGGTCTGGAATACATGAGTTATGAGGAGAAGCTGAGGGAACTGGGATTGTTTAGTCTGCAGAAGAGAAGAATGAGGGGGGATTTGATAGCTGCTTTCAACTACCTGAGAGGTGGTTCCAAAGAGGATGGTTCTAGATTATTCTCAGTGGTATTAGAGGACAGGACAAGGAGTAATGGTCTCAAGTTGCAGTGAGGGAGGTTTAGGTTGGATATTAGGAAAAACTTTGTCACTAGGAGGGTGGTGAAACACTGGAATGCGTTACCTAGGGAGGTGGTAGAATCTCCTTCCTTAGAGGTTTTTAAGGTCAGGCTTGACAGAGCTCTGGCTGGGATGATTTAGTTGGGGATTGGTCCTGCTTGGAGCAGGGGGTTTGACTAGATGACCTCCTGAGGTCCCTTCCAACCCTGATATTCTATGATTCTATGAATTCTTTGGCTTTTACAAAGGCAAAACTCAAGCCAACAGTCATGTGGCTAAATATTTAACTCCTTACATGAGCCAAACTCCCACTGAAGCTTACTGCCCTATTCACAGTTGACCTGCAATTTACGTAAATCATTAACACCAGTGCAAAGTGGATATAAAATGTTACCACTCTTGACATGTTACTGTTCTACACCCACTTTGCACTGGTGTAAATGACTGCACAAGGTGTAAGGTGAATTGGGCCCTGGGAATTTGGACCAAGTGGATTTGGCAGGCTGTGGCCCTTCGTAATGAATTTTAACTATATTATATATAGAAGGCGTGGCCAAACTGTGCCTCATGAGCCACATGTGGTTCTTCTACCGTTAAAGTGCAGCTCTCCGCCTACCAGATCGTGGGGGGGCGGAGCTCGGGGCTTGTGTCCTGCAGCAGGGTGATGGGTCTAGGAGCTTCTCCCAGAGATGACTGGTGCCTTCTGAAAGTGAGGGAGGGGGGCACAATTTAAAGGTTCAAGCCCTATAGCTTGGGCCCACCCCAAGCATCCTCCCCCTCTTACCCTCAGTGGCCCCTCCCTGCAGCTCCCAGGTACTAGCTCCCTGTGGACAGGCAGCCGCAAACAGCTGGGAGCTGCAGGGAGGGGCAGCTGCTTTAGCTTCCTGGGGAAAGGCAGTGGCAAGAGCAGCAGTTCTCCCTGCAGCTCCCAGCTGTCGTGCAGGGAAGTGGCCTGGTGGTACCATGTCTCCGAGGGGGGCCAGCAAACCCTAGCAAAAATCTGAGTGGGCGTGCGAGTCCACATGCCCTCCTCCCCCACGTCACCTCTGGCTTCTACCCAGCAGGGAGGGAGGTCTCAGGGCTTCAGCCTTACAGAGCTCACCTCCCGGGGCTCAGCTGAAGCTCCGAGCCCTGGCAGGTGCACCCCGGCTCTTGAACTTCTGAAGATCATCATATGCAGCTCGGAGGGTCAGTAAGTTTGTCCACCCCGATATATAGCACCTTTGCTATAGACTTTACAATAGCACAAATTAGTACTGCTGATCATTTGAAATTATACAATCTGAAACCAGGACGATGTACTGATGAACTTCCTATTAATGTTTTCAATCTTTTACAATATAAATAGTTCAAACATTCTCAAGAAGCAAACCCGCTCCTTCTCCGCTTAACTGGACTGCTTCCACGTACAGTCATTCCCCCTAATCACTTCAGCACGCAAGCGATGGGCAGAAGTTTCAGTCTGAGTTATCCTCCTTTATATTTCATCCCACCGTGAAATACAACCATGACATTCTCAGCATCAAAACAGCAGTTTAACTGAGGACCAGGGGTATATCCAAAGCTGATCTGCTGCTTTTAGTAGACTCCAGTCCAAACAGCTTGCAAAGTATTGAAGACAATATGAATAGCCCGCATAAGAAGACAGGTAAAATAAGTTTCCTTCAAATT